CCGCTTTAGTATTGCATTTTTCTTAAAGTGCTCCTGTAATTTCGTGGCAATTTTTGGTAACAATGTCTTGACTCGATCGAAAATAGATCGTGATTAGAACTTGACAATACCTTGGTATAATTCTGTCTGCTATCTCTTCCACGATCGTAGGCAGAATCTTGAGAAAATCCTAAAAAGAATCCATTTTAATCGTGGGAAATGCTTGAAACATGATTGATTAGAATTTAACAAAGGATTCTGAACAAAACTTCGCAACATTCTGACAGATTCTTCCAAAATTTTTCAGAGAATGAACAGGATTGAGACTAGAAATTGCTCATTTACATGAGTAGGAAAGAAAAAAAAAACATTCATTGGGTGCTTCACTCGAATCAGAACCTCATCGCGACGGTTTTTTACTTTTTTTTCAGGAAAGAAAAACTAGTGTTGAATACAACTAGTCAAGATCTACTGAAAACCAGTTTGATGTGATCTGGAATCGGTAATCGTGTATCAACACATCATTGACCATTGGTCATGATTCTGGAGACCGTCTTCCACAGTCTATGGGGGAAGAGGATGCAAATTTCTACCTTATATTTCAACATTCCTTTTAGAACATTTTTCACAAAAGAATGATATCAAAGGATCTTCTGTTCACTATTCACTAGTTCCAGAATAGCTACTTCGCATTTACGTATGTCCAAACGCGCACATTTGAAAGTTCATAAAAGAATAGAAAACATGTAAAATAAAGTGAAAGTAGAAACTTCAAAGTAGTTTGAACTAAACAGTGGCAAGCGATAAACTAATTTAATCAATGAATTACATTTTTATTGTCTTTATTCAGAGGATGCGACTTTTTATTACAAACGGTAGATTAGAAGCTTGAGACTAGCCTTCCATACTGTAGAGAATAGAAGTAGAAGGTTTACTTTATTCTTTATATAATGTGAAGTCTAAGATGATTCTAATGATTTTGAAGTCAATTAAATGAATAAAGTCATTTGCTGCTCTTTTGCTGAGAAATATATAATAGAACACAGCAAGAGTGATGACAAGAGATTTTATTCTACTGTGAGGTAAGCCTTTTCCTATTTACCAGTGTTACTTTTTCAGAAGCTAGTCATTAAAAATGCTATTGTTCTGTCTCTATATGTTTGTCAATTACTTTTATTGGCACGTTTGTTGAAAAGCATGTGCCATAGACATTCCTGTTGCATATCAACAGAGAATGGCTAAGTCAAAGAGAAAAGAAAGAAACAATGAATTAAATTATCTTTAGAATGAGAAGACTTGACGAAGTTTAAGAAAATGTGAATCTTGCTCAAGGGGGAAACAGCTGATTTTAATCAATTTTAAATCAAAAAAATCAGCTAAATCAGCTAAATCAAAAAAATCAGAAAATTTTTAATTTCTTTTGTTTAAAAACATCAATCAAGAGTGAAATCAGCTGAAATCAGATTTTTTTTGATTTTTCTGATTTTCTTTGATTTTTTTGGTTTTTCTGAATTTATTGATTTTTCTGATTTTTTTTTGATTTTTTTGATTTTCCTGATTTCTTTTTTGATTTTTCAGATTTCTTTTTTTGATTTTCCTGATCTCTTTTTTGATTTTTTTGATTTAAAATTAATTGATTTAAATCAAAAAAAATCAAAAAAATCAAAAAAATCAGATTTTAGCTGTTACCCCCTTGGATCAAACCCAAAATCTATTAGTCCTCACATTTTTCAATATCTGAAAATCTTCAGCTTTTCCCATGAAACATCTCTTAAATATGCTAGTCTTACAGGCCTCATTAAGCCGTGCAGAAATTAATGTTTAGCTTCTATTCAATTCATGGGCTAACAGAGGCAGTGCGAACTCCAAAGTCAATTCTATCGAAAAATTGCCTCAAAATCTAGTTGTCTTACTCTTTGTCAGTATTTTTTCGAAATTTCAATTTCACCATTGGATATATGGGTGTGGATGTAGAATGAGGATAAAGCTCATACCAACATCTACACCTACACCCCACATTTCTTTTGACATATCAAACTGTCGAAAAAAATTTTCTGAAAGTCTAATACGTAAGATTGATATCGTTAGAAAGAGCGGAAAAAACTGAGTATTACCCTAAAATATGAGCGCGGGGTATAGTGTAGTCCCAAGCAAAATGTTTTCAAACAAAGTTTCCAGCAAGAAGAACTTTTTTGTTCTTTCTTTATTTTTTTTCTTTCGTTCTGTCGTAAGCGTATATATATATATATTATCGCGAATGACAGAACGAAAGAAAAAATTTCTATACATATGCTGAGAAGAGAACATAGTATTCTTTGCGCTATTAATTCATGATCGAAAAAATTATTAAAGATAGAAGTTTATTATAAAAATTTTATAAATCTTGAACATGAAATACATTTTTAAATTTAATTATTTATTAGACAAATAAAATTTTTTCTCTTGTCTCAAACGTGATTTCCTTTAATTCATGTTGAAAACTCAGTTTTTTTCATTTTTTTTCTCGAAACTTCCACAAATATTTGATTCCTGATTCAATTATGAGAAGAGGACTTTGCTTTTTAAATTTTGATCAATCGACTTACGGTTCATTATATTTAATCACAACACAATTTAAGCTAAAAACGAGTAATGCGAAACTCTGTATATAAATCAACACTCAATATATGTATGTTCGATGTGCACAATTAGTTTCTTTCAAGCATTCCTCTGAGAAAATTATCAATATTCCACTAATTATTTACAATGATATATATTTCTTTATAAAATTCATTTGCCTTGATCAAGTTGTTTTATCAGCACATGTAGAGAATTCTTCACACATATATGTAAAGTAGTTTAACCAAATATCGTTAAAATGATTGTTATAAATAATTTTTTTGTTTATTTATGTCGTGCTTGAACTGATATATTATCATAACTAAAAGAAAGAACACATATTAGTATTATTGTTTTTATCATAGCTATTTTTTTTACTTTTTCGCAGTATTCTAAAAAAAAAACAAGGTAAGAGAATCAAGAAAAAAATAATGCGTTTTTGATTCCTTTTCTTAGTATTAAAACTCTCACTTTATTATTTTGTCATTATAGTAAAAAATGCAGTAAGATATATATAATCATTTAAATCGATATACATTGATTCATATTTCTAGGAATGAGTTTTCTTTCTATAAAATATTTTACAATTTATTTTAGGATCAAATGTGATTATACAATATGTGTTCAATGTTCATGAAAAAGGCGACATGAATACTTGTTCATAAATGGACGAAGGTATTTTTTACTAATGAATATTGGACACTGTCCTTCATTGATACATATTCGATGTTGTTTGTTAATAATGATGATTCGACGATAATACTCCTTCCCTTAAATATCATCGATCATCGAAAATTATTTAAATTTAGACTGGACATTTAAATCGATCCATGCCTAAACTAAATCATTTCTCGATGAGCATGAAACATAAGAGTTGGAGTCAGTTTGAGTTTTGCTCGCACCATCGGCAAAAACTCTCTGATCCATTTAAATAATATTGCAATAAAGGCAAGCAAATAGCAAAATCAAGAATCAGTAGAAAATAATATTAAAATTGGTTAGTGTAAAAAAATATGTCAAGCGATCAAACAACATAAGTACATGCAGCACAACCAAAAACAAGCGAGAATAAAATTATATTATATATATTCAATTTGTTTCAATAATAAAAAAAAAATTATGATTATGATGCTAGTCGGCCCTAATGGAAGACTAACGTTTTGAAAGCTATTACTATTTATTTATTAGTTCTATTTATAAATTTTTAGAATTTTATTATGAGCGAGAGAATTCATTATATGTTGAGTTTGAAAAGTCGTTTTGCATTGTCATTTGCAATTTCAATAATTTTGCTTGCATTTTTTCCCGAAGATCTTATAACATTTTCAATCCATTTCGAGGTAATAAATATACCTGTAGCAGGATTATAATCTTCTTTTGATAAATCTTTTGGATTTAACCATGGACAGTCTGTCTCCAGAACTAATCGATCAAATAGTAAAGGATGGTTTCGTAACCACTTTTTAAACTTTTTGTCTAGATCAATATCTGGTACTAACGTACACCTTCCATTTAATGATATAAATGAATTAGGAAATTTTTTCAAATAATAATCAATAACTTCTAGATCTGAATCGGCTTTGATGCAATGCCATTGTATATGGTGTGATGAAGGTAGGATCGATAGTAGACAGTCAAGCATTGGACGAAAATATTCTCTGCCTCGACAATGTAAAACAAGTGGTAGCTGATAGTCCTTTGCTATTCGTACTTGCTGTGCAAATATTAATTTTTGGCTATGCATATCAAATCTGCTGGTTTCATCAAGACCAGTCTCACCTACACCAACAACTGGATAACGAGAAAGATAGTTGCTTTTTATTTTCAAAATGTTTTCAAGTTGATTGAGACGAAATGCAACTTCATAATATTCGGGTAGAATTTTCGGATGTATACCAAAGCATTCGAAAATACCACAGTTTTGATATGAGATATCAGAAGTTGTGTTCCATGTGGTATAATTATGTTTATTGTTAATCATAAATATACGACGAACGCTTGATTTTGAAAGTGATGAAAAAAAAGAACAATCAGAAGCAAATAAATCAACATGACAATGTGAATCAATTACTGGAAGATATTCTACAAGATGAGTATTCAGTGGACAGTAACAAGTTTCATATAGACTTTTGAAACAAATATCACGGTTCATTGATAAAAATTAACTAAAAAGCATAGAGAGAGAAGACTGATTATTTAAATATCTAAAAATGATGCTATCAAAAATGTCTGTAGATGTTCTTAAATAAAAAAAAAACAAAATACTGCTTATGCAAACACAAAAGTTCTAGTTAACCTACTCTAAAAAAAAGTAAACTCGAGCGAAACAATGACTTTTTATGAACTGAGATTATTACTCCATATACCGGCCATGTGGAAGGCATATGAACTAGTAATAAAAACAAAACATAAGAAAAAAGTTATTATTTATGTTTAAAACTTTTCCAACGATTTTCTCCTCGATTCACTATTATTGTTGGAGAAGTTAGATACTTAGGCACAAGATCCTGATCACTTTCTTCTTCCATATTATCTAGTTCATTACTTGATGAAGATATCTCATCTGAAGAAACATAATCACCACAATCGCTTTGATTTGAATGAAAAAGGTTATTGTTAGATATGTCATATTCATTTTCACTGTCAGTTTCATCAGAAGTACATTCTAAAGCATATTTTGCCATAGCTATACGATCTTTCGGATCGGCAAAGTTCATCTCTAATTGTCTATATAAACTTTGAATTATCGTACGAAGAGGCATCTTAGCTCTATTACTTGAAGAAAAATACAGACGAGATAACAAATCATTAGATTTTTCGACACCTTGCATATCATATGCACTCATGTTCTCATTTTCATCCTGTTCAGCTAAATGATTGCCGATCAAGTGCAAATAAGGTGTACAAACTGTTCTCAAGCCTGATCTGAGAAAATCTTTGACGAAAGTCTTTGCGACTTCAGATAGGCGATATGTTCTTTCAGCTTTAGGCGTTTTAATAAGTTCGAGAATTCTCTTGAATTTTTCAACTAAATTTTTCGCATTTCTCGATATTTGCTCGTTTTGAATTATTTCATATGGAAAACTATCTACAAAAAGTTGTTGCTGTAAATGACCAGAAAATCTGCCACAAGCAACAATCGTTTTTATATTATTCTCGGATTCGATTTTAAAGAAAAAACGCTTTCCAATTTGTTTAATAGCATGTTCATTTAGTAGTTTAACTTTTGCTTCAAGTATCTTAGTATGATTAGGTTCGTATTCATTAGTTCTTGAAGCTTCTGATAAAATATCTTTCAACAAAATATCAAAAATACGCAAACGCATATGTAAAGGATCAATGATATAATCATTAAATTCGAAGAGATCTCCGAATAATGGTTCACATTGATATCCCAGCTCATTGTTTGCTTTTGTTTTTTCTATTTTAGCTAAACTAACTCGTTTTTGTTCAAGCGTTCGAGCACCACAAGTGGGATCATAACAAGAAGTTGGATTAACAAAAGTCTTTTGTTTTATTTTCTTCTTGTTTTTCCCTGTCCCTGTGAAAATCTCTTCCTCGCATTCGGTATTATGATCGGTCACATATAGATATGCCTTGTGTTGTGTGCAAAAAACACACGGGTAATTGCTGTGGACACCAGCCAACCCAAAAACATATACGGAATTCTGATAATCTCCTCCAAGACGTATTTTTACCTCGACACACTTTTTTTTGCTAATTTTCAGCTGTTTAATAGATTGGATCGAAGTAAGAAATTCCACAGGAAGAGTTTTTCTCAATAGCTCATTCGACTCTTTTTGAATTTCGAAAATTCCGACGGGCACAAGATTCTTTGCACTTTGACAAGATGGACCACCTTCTACGCAATTCACTGAGATGGCTACTACGTGCTTATTGCCCATTAATGTCCCGTCCATATTCAAACGAAATACAAGCTTACTCAAGTGCCGAACTTCAGGTCGAAACTTAGTAGCAACAAAGATAGCTACTCGAAGAGCAAAATCGAACGGCACGTAACAAGAGTCTTTCGTAAATTTTAAAGGGATATGTTTGTTTGCCTGTTCTCTCACTCTATTGATTTCCCCCATTGAATAGAATAATTGTTTTTTTTCTTGAAAAAATTTATGCATGGCTCTTATAGCTGAATCTGTGATATGGTATTGGTCTTTAATATGAAGAAAATCTCTTATGAGATTTTCTTTATGATAATCGACTTGTTTACGTTTATTCACTGTTAACGAAGAAGAAAGAAAGTCTGAAGACATAGACAAATCGTCATTTAGTTCCGAAATTGAACTATCAACTTCTTCGCTACTATCACTGTCATCAGGTACACAATGACTTTTTCTCTTGATTCCTCTAGTCCTATATGTACGTCCTAAAATAGTATCTAGATCAACATTGATTTCCTCATCAAGAGATTGCTCTTGTCTTTTGATCAGAATATCACAAGTGAGAAATTTTGAGATGGATGTATTATTTCTATTTTCCAAAATAGCAGTTTTTAAGTTGTCATGGAACTGTTCTATATCTGATATTAAGCTCCTCTTTTGAAAATATGCTTCGACAATCAAAATAATTTCTTTGACATCAACCAACCCTGAAAGATCGAATTCTTTCAAAGCCTTGAGAGCCAATGAATTACTTATTGTTAAATGAACAGAACTCTCTTTTGGTTGAATACAGATTACATCAGAATCTCGAACTAGCAATATCCGATCGGATGACCGAATGCTGAAATATGATTCAAACGAAAATGATTCAAACTCATCTGTTTCTTTCATTGGCTCTACAATCGAAGCAGAGCAATTAAAACAGAATACGTCATTGTTTGAAAGTACTTTTATTACTCGCTGATGTTTAGCAGTTGCCTTCTTTTTGGCATGAAAAATTATTAAACTGAGTTGACGACGAAGCAATTGTGTTAATGCTGAAACATTAACATATAATTTTTGAGAACTATAAAAACAATAGCAAAGAATGTCGTCTAACAAATGTGACAACTCGGTTGATATAGAAGACCTAGAAAGAGAGAGAGAAAATATTCGTTGTAGATAGTCGAAGCCGGCGTATATTACTAGATCTTTTCCATCAACATACTCAATTTTTAATTTAGAAAATGTCAACGGTGTACTTGTACTATCTTCTGATGACGAATAGAGTTCATCAGTTAGCTTTTCAATGTTAAAGGTACAAGTCGAACTTGAATTAGAAGTCGTATCGGAAATCAAAGAAACTGGTTGAACAAATGAACGTGGTAGATAAACAACTAAAATATTCGTTTTTTTCTTCAGTCGTGCTCGTGAAATAGCATTTTTACACGAGTTATTCACGACAGAATCGACAGTAGCAAGACCTCGACTATTTAACTCAAGCAGAACGCTTTCTTTCATTTTATTCAATAACCAAGCCGAATCAAATAAATTCCAGCCTGGAATATTGATCTCAACCTTTACAGATTTTTCACCCATTAATATTAAAAAAAAAAGATATCTAATGCAAAAAAACTAATAAGTAACGCAATAAAATTAAATGTCAAGCTACGAAAAAATAATATAAACAAAAGCGAATCAACTACCTTGAGCGAAAAACCAAAACCAATCTATATAATCAAGCCAAATCGTATTGTTGTAACACCAAAAGCTAAAAGCGAGAAAAATAAAAATAATAATGAATGAGTTTTGTTTCTAGATAAATCCGTTTTTCATCCAAAAAATTCTAAATTCTATCACTTTTATTTATTTAATTTCGCATTGTCTAATAAAATTATTTAAAAAAAAATTACAGTATGTTAAATCTGTATTCCTGCTTTTTTGGTTACTTTGTGTCAGAGAAGCCGAAATCTGTTCAATAACTTTTACCTTAGCTGTTTAATATTCAAAACTCACAGGAAGTGTTTCTTTTCGTTTTTCTTTAGTCAGATCTTTAATTATCTTTGAAACCAATCAAAAATTTTTTTTTCAAAATAAGTTTTCATTGACACTATCCTTCGGAATAATATGAATCAACAGTTGAACCAATACATTTAGGAATTAACTTACACAATTTATTTTTTATTTTATTTCTAATACCCTATAAAGTTTTATTCAATGGTTTTCATCAGTGATTTTTCTCACTACTGAATATCAAGTACAGTGATTTTTACAACGGTTGTGAGACTGTCTAACTTGTAAAATTTTATCGAAAAAAATTAGTTTCTTATTTTTGTATGAAGTATGTGCAAAATAGACGTTTTTTACTGGATTCCATTGAAAGTGAAAGCTGTTTGAACTTTCTTGCGACTCTCAACTATGGTGAAATATTATTATTCTAGCTTGAGGAACTGATTCAACTGTTTTATTGAGAGAAACAAGTAAATGTGAAGGATATGTTTGAAACATTTCTTGACTAAGACTCTAAACTGAATGAAATTATTTTAACCGTACGGAGCACCTAAAATTATATCTAATTATCATTTTCGTCTCTTATGAACACATGGATTGTTCCTTTACCTTAATTATGCTGAGAAATGAATAATATCGATAATGTTTGAATTGAAGAATTGTTGATTAATAGAAATAATTATTGAAGTATATTATAAGAATTGAAATTGAATAATCTGAAACAAATTGTTGAGCATTAAAGATAATTAGGTGAATCAAATGTATGCATCTATTCCTTCTTTTATTTAAATTAGTCTCATTGAAATGTTATCGATAGCTATAGCGTTCATCTATCGTTAGGCGATAACGAATCACGTGGGTGTATACGTTATAAAGGATATGTTGTCGCTTGTTTATGTGTCTAGTCCTGATCAGCAATGTTTTCTCTCTTGCATTGTGTCATGAACATGATTGTTTTCTCACGTGTCGTCGTGTAGCAACGAGTCAGATCGTTATCGAACCACATAGAAATTTTCTATTGTATTCATTTTCGTGCTTCAGGGATATTCAATAAGTCACTCACTTATGGCTGATCAACCGGTTCAAATAAACAACATAAATACAGGATTAGCATCAACAAATAATGGTGCAATCCAATCTTCCAACAACAATAATGGAAATTCGATGAATAAAATTAATAATAAGAACAAGAAAAAAAATTCATTTAAGGTATTAAACAAACAACGATTTTCTACACATTATGAACGAACAAATCAATACAATAATAATCGAGCTGCAACTAGTCGTTTTGGTTATGATGGTGAAAATCTTGACGATTATCATCGTCGTTACGGACAAGAACTCTATTGGAGAAGTAAGAAAACAAATGTTTTATTTTAATAATAAGTTAAATAAGAATGAGGGAATTCATGTTTTTAAAAACAATATTTCATTCAAAGATGAGAATCATGTTGTGTCTGACGATTTTTAGAATTTTTACAATAAATTAGATCAATTCCCATTTTATTTTCATTAACATGTAAATTACTAATCTTAATCGAGTAATATTAGATACCCATGAATAACTCAGTCATATAAAAAAAATTCTATTGAAATTTGACATGATTCCTATTTATGCTTCTTATTTAATCCTCATTGAGATAGCTCGGTAATCAAATATCACAACAGTCGATTGTGAGAGTCATCAACGATAGAGCCAAAGGACAAAAAAGAACGGCTAAAATACCATTAACAAATAATGCTGTCATACAAGCTCTACACAATTTAGGAATAAATAAACAATGGATTCCATCTCCAAATTTAGTACAAATTTTACAACTGCAGACGGAATTTATTAAAGATCATTATCTAAGAATTGGTTCTCGCCTCGAATTCAAGTTGTCAACAAAAACTTTATATTATTTCGACAAACAAAATAACATGAAAAAAACCGATGAGGCTATGTTTCTTTGCTTCCGTCTTCTAAAAGACACTCCTATTCATCAAAATTGAACTTTGTATGTACTTTTTTTTGTCTACTGTTCACATGAAAAAAAACAGCTTTTTATGTAAAACAAATGAATTTTAAAGTAGATTGTGATACGAAATAAAATACAACCTAATCTGCATGACATTCTATATCTTCTTTTTCTTTTTGAGTATCTTGAAAAAACCAACAATAATTATGATAAAAACAATAATACTAATATAATAATGTTTATTCTTTCTTTTAGCTATGGCAATATATCAGCTCACATACGAGATAGACAAACAAAAAAATTATTTACAAGAAAAGTTCTGACGATATTTGATGAAACTGCTTTACAAATACATGTGAAGAACAATGCAATTAAAATTAACTAAAAAAAATAAGAATGACATAGAAGAGAGAACAGAATAACAATAGTTCGCATATAGCTGAGTGGCTAAAGAGCGTGGATGACGCGAGGCTGGTTCGAATCCAGTGTGAATCGATTTTTTTTCTGCTTTGTACGTTGTTTTTCCATTGAATTCTGTCAAATTTTTTTGGCTTACGGTCAGAGGTACCCACTTGAGATCTTAAGAGGACACGGATACTTGACTACGCTGAACCCGAATATACTATTTTTATTTTCCGAGAACGTATCCTTCAAAACCCCTCAGGGATAATATGTCTAATGGATATGGAGAAAGATAAATCAATTGAATAAGCTTAAAAAGCTGAAGTCCTTCTACATAATTGAGTTAAATATTATATATTTATGCAATTTTCAAGAAAAAAATGAAAAAACAAAGATTTTTCAGTATGAGTTAAGCAAAAGAACGCGTGAGATACTAGAAAATATTTTAGTTGCCTAATAAATTGCGGAAATTTAAAATTAATTTTCATGCTGAGAATTTATAAAATATTTATTATTCAATTGAATTTTTAAATAATTTTTTAATCATCAATTATCATCGTGAAGAATGCTTTTTGTTTTTGTCAATATATGTAGGCAAATTTTTTTCTTTCGTTCTGTCGTAAGCGTATGTATATATATGTATATGTCATCGCGAACGACAGAACGAAAGAAAAAAATTAAAGAAAGACAAAAAAATTCTTCTTGCAGCAAATTTTGTTTTAAAAAATTTTGCTTGGGACTACACTATACCCCGCGCTTATATTCTAGGGTAATACTCAGTTTTTTGCGCTCTTTCTAATGATACCAATCTTTCGCATTAGACTTTTAGAAAATTTTTTTCGACTGTTTGATATGATAAGTATAGTATAAGACTTATTTTAATTGTAATGTATTGCAGTTTTACAAGTGAATGAACAATTTTATAGATAGTTCGATTGTAATATAAACTACCATGTTTTCCAAATTGGCAAGTCTCTTTAAATAATGGATTCCGGAGATCTAGACCTAAAAATTGTTTGACATAGATGACTTTTTCTGCATTATCTCATGGTTAAATTGAAATTTCTAAAGAACGTTTATGAGAAATAAAACAGACAGATTTCGAGGCTGGTTTTCGGTTAAATCGACTTTTGAACCTGTTCTGCTATAGTTAGCCTATGCGTCGAATGAAAACTAAACCTAAATTTCTACACAACTTGACGACGGCTACAAAACTAGGGTAATTAAATCTTGTCAGAATACAGTAGATGTAAAATTGGCAGGATCTGCATGGAAGCTTCGATATCTCGATCGGGATAGAGAAGGTCTCTTTCCATTAGCAGGGAGAGGAATATTCCTTTTCCAGTGATAGATATATTCCTAGGATTATATGATATCTTATATTGGTTTGACCACTGTGCACCAAAAACGAATTTAAAAATTTTTGTTCCTTTACGGCCAGATGTTGTTATTTGGCAACATCTGATCCAAAAGGGCTAAGAGAATAAATCAAAAAATTTATATTCTTTCTTGTATGTATACTATAAGTAATTATTGAAAACTTTAATTGTTGTACTTGAAAATAAATATGAAATAGATTAGTTATAAAATAACTGATAAACTAATATGTACTTTGCTGAGCAAAACTCAAAATAAGAATTCTTACTGTCCTGTAAGTCAGCAGGACAGGATAGAAAAAGGTGTTCTATGCCCAGCTCTACCGCTCATTATAACTGGTAGCTGTAATATCCATGCGATTATCGCTATTGAAATCACCAAGAGCGACTCCAAAACTCGTAGTTCTTAGTTTATATAAGTACGACCGGTTGAATGTTAGATCACTATTGATGAGACCTGTCCATGAATGAATATCATCTAGTTGATAGTGCACATGTATAGGGAAGAAATCTCATCTATTTTATATGTAGATAAACTGTTACAAAGAGTTCTTCTCTTACTTTTGATCTTTGTTGAACAATTAGAGTAAAAATTTGAATCTCTTCTTGAAAATAAGGAACAGTATGTGAATTCATATTTCCAGTAATTTAATTCAAGAGTCGACAGATAATCTTTTTCTCCAAAAACAAATTAGTTTCTGCCAAACCATGAGGAATTTCGATGCGTTTAAGATTTTTCTAACATCTAGCAGGTAGGGGCGTAACCAGAAAAAAAGCGTAGAGGGAGCTCTGCCACCGACAGCACACACGTTCTCTGAGCGGGGTAGCAGTGAAACTGTTTCGGTCTTTCGTGGAGACCTAACTCTGCTTTTCATTTTCGGGATAATGTTCGAATGATAACATGCAGCAAAAATTCTTTCTCACGCCAGTCTTCAGTTTTGACGACAACATAATCGTGAAAAGAAATAATTAATACTTGTTTTACAGGAAAATACTGCTAAAGACGCAACTTTTCGTAAAGGAATAAAATGTCTTTGCCAAAAAAGCGAAATAAATTCATATTGAGGGAAGCTACTTTTTTCGAGTGACCAGTGCAACATGATGCTGGTTGTCTTAGATCCTCAGCTGCCAAAGGCGGCTGGTCTTTTAATAGTTATTTCAAAACCAGAAGGCGGATGTGAAAGATGAAAAAAGGCTTTATTGCTGAAATTAAGGGTGCCCCCCCCCCTCAAAAATTGATCTCAGTCTAGGAACATCCAAACAGGCTGATATTTGGAGGATATGTTAGGCCTGTGATAGGACGCACGTGATAAAAGTTTCAGTCTTCTATCCTAATGTATAAGGTAGATACGAACCAAACAAGAGTCGAAAAATAGCTAATCGCATCACCAAAAATTCTCTATAGGTGTTCATTCAATTTAGCTCATTGTTTTTTCGTATGAAAGAGCATGTCAGGATGCAGTGCCTCTGAGGGCCCTTTTTTTTATTCCTATCTTTATGAAGGAAAACAGGCTTCACAAGTTCAATCACTCAAAAATCCCTCAAAAAAAATCATGCTAATGTTATAAAGTCGCTTTTCAATATAATAATAAGAAAGCTTTATCAAAAAAAGAGCCCTCAGAGGCACTGCATTCTGACATGCTCTTTCAAACAAAAAAAAAATATTTGACTTTATATCGCATTATAGTTGACTTTTCGTGGTGATGCGCTACTCGACCACCAATTTTGAGAAAAAACGAAAAAGATTTTTGGATTTTTCGAAAAACCATTGGTTTTTCGAATAGGGGTTGTCAAAAATCTTGAAAATTTTTCGGAAAAAAGTGGTATCGAAGAAAAGTTTTTATCGTTTATGAAAGAGCAAATGACAGGCTATCTTCCCATGTATTTATCTCAATCTTGACCATTCTGACGAAAACTAACTTTTTTGAGGGAGGGGACCCTTAAATCAAAGAATGAAACTGTATTCCTGATAAGAGTCGAAATGAGGGATAGAGTTATCGATTAGAAAAAAGAACATCTTAGCTCATCCGATTGACGAAATCAATTTCTTCTTCAATAATGCCAGAAAACTGGGTTTTAGAAAATATGTTTCTCAAAAATATCTTCCGAATTCTTTATTTCTTATTGTGTTGTGAACGAACAACAGAGTGATTCGAACGTTTTGACTCCTCTTTATCATGAGGTTCTGTATACTGAATACATATATTCCGAGTTTACTGGAACATATAATTATATAGAGAGACATCAGCGCTATCCCTTGAAAACAAATTCAAATCGCTTAGATGTCACGAAAGCTATTGTCATTTTATTGACCGCGACGAGCCATTTTCATCTTACATTTTTAGAAAACAAAAATGTTCTTGTCCTGTGTGAAGGACTCAAACTTGATCAAACTGTTGCTTTCAAGGTATTTCAATAGATATTTTTATATGATTAGATAGAATTCAACAAGCTCAAAAAGAGTATGCACGTCAGCGAATATTCGTACATATTTTTTGATAAAAAAGCTCTTGAAAAAAACCTAGAAAACCTAATGTAAATCTTGCATCTTTTGCGTTGGAAACGACATGTTCAGTTTTCGATGATATCGAGAGGTTTAATTATTTTTTATATTAAAGACATTAGATAAAACTTACTTAAAATG